ATATATATGTATTTTATTAGAATATAACTTTTTATTTTTTAAAATATACTATTTTTTTATTATATATATATATATATATATATATATATATATATATATGTAAAATGGTAGTGGGAACAAGTGCCCTCACTATTTACTATGTAGATCCGTCTCTATCTGCAATGGAATATCTTTTTTAAGATAATTTAATTATTTTATTTTTTGTGAAGAAAAAAAAAAAGTAATCTCACACATAGGAGGGATATATGTGTAGTCTTAGGAGGGCCATGGGCCCCTTGAATTTTTTTAATGTAAAAAATTATAAAGTTTATTTGTTTATTTAGGTTTTTTTAAAAGTAAATATTAGTTTACTTAATTTTTTTCTTCACAAATTTTTCTTTTTCTTGTATTTTCGTAACTTATTTATTAGCTCAACTAATAAAGGTTCTCAACAATTACATATATGAAAACATTTAAAATATTTAAGTATATTTAATGTGTTATAACACTTCCAGCATATCAACACTTTTGTAATTTATTCAATTCCTTCATGATTTTTTACTTTAAAAATATTTATCACTTATTATAATAATAGAGTTAGAATAAATCTAAATAATATTTATTATTGTTATTTCTTAATTGTTGTATTAAAAATTTTAAGATAACACTCCCTCATCATTCATAGTCTCTTATTTATCATATTTTCCCCTCAATATAAATTAAAAATAAATAATAAAACTGAAAAAGGTAAAAATTAAATAAATTCCATTATATTATTATTTTTATATAAATATTGTTATATTATTTAATTAAGTTTATATATACTTTTTAAAAAACATTGAAAGTCAAACATTTAATAAGTTGTCATTCCATTAATAATCGATCAAATTTTAAATAATATTATCCTGAATGAAAATTTATTCTTACATTAAAAATTAAAATCAAAGAGAGATTTAACATTAATTTATTAGAGCATGGTCTAGAATTAGAACCACAAATATAAAAATTGCTAAAAAAATTAGTATTCATTTAATTATAAATGATTTTCATGATATAAAGGATAAATACTTTGTATTCTAATAAATTATTAATGTATTTAACATTTTGAAACAAATAAATATAAATATTTTTATTTTAAATTTAATGTGTATATATTTTTAATGAAAAACTCTTTTTAAAATGGTACCTTCTATCCTTCAAGTCTGGCTTTGTCCCTACACACATGTTATATTAAATTATTGCTGAAAACCTTTTTGAGACAAATTAAAGATATACATATGTAGACATCTCTACAACGATTCATCCCATTTTATGTTAATTATGCATGCGTATGTGATTGAAAGTTTCAAGAACAATTCATGCACCCAATAGTATCGGCGAGTGTGTGGATTATTGATATATACAATCAAAGCATCTGGTTTTTATACATAGAAGAAAATAAATATGTGGCTTGTGGGAGCTCGAAGTTTTCCTAGGATGATACGGGATACTTGGAACTGACCACACAAATCAATGCTTGGATCGATGTCGACATCTTTACATGCATGCTTTCTTCTATTCACACACATAAATCAGCATGCATGATGATCATTTATGTCTAGTATGATCTTAGAACATGCAAATGTAATCCAGTTACAAGAAAATATAGCTGATATGGGTACAACATGTGGTTGCGAAATCATTACGTAAATTTTTTTGTTTGGATGATAGAGAAGCTGGTAAGCCTCAGACAGCTCCACTAGAGTGACCACATCCAAGCAATGAAATATGCATGACGCGAAAATCACTAGTAAGCACCCTAACATCCAGCTAATGAGGGAATAAGAGAGTTACATTACAAATAAAATAATAATAATAATAACTATACTTGTGACATGAGTTCATAATTATAATTACCAAAGAGAAAAAGTTATTATCTTTGATATATAATTTGTTATTAAGCAAATTACTGCATGTGTGAATTGTTTAGTCGTGTAAACACAAATAAACCAACCTATGTGAATAAATTAACCTAATTAAGTGTGATTAGGTTGATTCTTCTGAGAATAAGTTGATCATCGAGTAATCACATTAAAATATGTTTATTCAATGGATAATTTGTTGAAGTGAATGATAAAGTTGATTATGGAAGATTTCTACAAAATAGAAGTTTACATGTTAATGTAAAGTTAAAGCTTTACGTTAATTTATACAGGTTTAATCTTAAGATACTATTATAAAAGTGTCATTTTTCTGCGAAATTTTTTAAAAAAATATTCGTAAATTTTTTTTACGAATTTTCTTATAATAATAATTTCACAAAAAAAATTATGAATTTATTTGTGAAAAATAATTTACAGATATTTCTTATAATTTTTTTATGAAAAATAATCTATAATAATTTCTTTGATTTTTTTCGTAAAAAATATTCTTGCAAAAATTTTCGCGAAAAAAATTCGTAGGAAACTTTCCTGCGAATTTTAAAACTCGCAAAAATATATTATCCACGAAGGTATTACCTGCAGATAAAATTTTGCAAAAAAATTTGTAAGAATAATGTTTGCAACGGATTTTAATACAAAAATCGTAGAAAAAGTCGCATGTAAAGAGAAATTCTAGTAGTATTTATGTAACACCATTAATACGTTAATATTGTTATTTGTGTAAACAATTACTTAATTAAAACGAGACAAATAATTCTTATATCTACTTGTTATTAATTTTTATAATAAAAAAAAGTCTTATATTTTAATAAAATGTCTAATATATAATTCTTTCATTTAAAATAAAAAAAATCTTAAAAATTATTTTAAATCTCAATATATTGTTGAGTTATTTCCAGATAAAGAAGCAAGTATAAATCTTTATGGATTTTGGTCATTTCATTTTTACTATAGAGAGATGCGTGGTGTAGACATAATAATATAAAAATTAAAGGGTTGTTAAAATATCATTATAGATTGAAAACCATAATTAATATTAGCATATGCTTACGTAAACCTCCAAAACCGCGCGTATCAATATTTGTAGCTACATTGTAGTAGCTACATGTGAAGCCTTATTCATTAAGCTGATTAATTAAATTAAAATGGCACCGGATGGAGACTCTTTTCCAGTAGGGTGGAAGTAAATTTTGAAACGCGTCCATTTTTTAAGGCTTCGAAGTTGCACATTGTTGTCCTTTTTTGAGCCACAAATCGATGACAGCACTTCATAACCAACATATTAATCATATTATTTGATAATAGAGATCAACAGTGAACTTGCAACGTATGTATATATGCTTATTTAATTACCGTTGAAATAGTATACATACTTTCCTAATACACTGATAAGTGTTCATTTTCATCATAACTCAAGTAATATAAAAATACACGGGATTAGTATAGAACCTATATATTGGATTCTACCAAAAGAAAAAAAATACTATACACTAATGGGTGTTGGGATTAATATAGGTGTTATCAGGTGTATAAGTAGCAAAAATAATTTATCCTATAGTTTGTGAGTAAAACTTGCGAGTCCTAGCATGTAAAATCAAACCCAAAAAGGTGCCAAAGAAACAAAGGCAGCCCCAGATGATGAAAGTGGTTTTGTAGCATTCCATGCCCATGCATTTTCCATCTTCATACTCTCCTTTATGGTAAACAATTGCAGCCAAGTATCCAAACAGAAAGGACCCCACTGGGATGTTGGCCACCACCACATTATGATTCACAGAGAAATTCTTGGTTCCAAATAGTTCAGTGGTGATGGACACAGAAATGGAAGTGATGGCTCCAGTGCACAATCCAATAATGGCAGTGCTAACATAGAGAGCAAGATGAGTTTTGTTGAGAAGTAAGAAAAATGCCCCTGCAATTGGAGCCATTAATGCTACCATAGAAGCTGGTCTTGGTCTTGATATTGTACACTTACCCCTGCATACACACAAACCATGACACAAAATTTCAATTAGAGGGGTTATTTAATGGCTTGTTGGTGTCCATTGATGCAGATCAACTAACACATTTATAGCCATTATTTGAATTATGTGACAATGTAAATGCACTAGGTGCTGGTTGGTGTTAGATAGGAATAGCTAGGAAGTAGAGAATGTGTAATTTACCTGTAAAAGTAGTCCATAATAGATGGCATGAGACGGCCAAAGAAGCCAAAAGAAGATGACAAAGACACCAATGATGAAGTGCTAGAGTAACCCCGGGATTCAGCTATTTGTCCCAAGTTATTCAGAAACACTAAACCGAGTGTTGCACCAAACAAATAGACAAGGAAATATAACCAGAAATCTACTCTTCTCAGCATCACTTTTACTCCTATTTCCTCTCTTATACCTACATATTGAACTTCTCTACTAATACTATCTTCACCCTCTTTCACCTCATTTTCTTCCCTCTCTTCATTCTGACTCTCCTCTGCAGTAAAATGATACACTCTTTGGTTTTCTCTATTTTTGTGCCATGACTCTACTAGTGAATTGATCTTCATGGAAAGTGGAACTAATAGAGGGAACAAAAGGGTTACCAAAACACCAATAAAGCTACCCAGTGAAGATATTTTGCTCGAGACAAATTGCAAGCTGCTCACCACAGCATATATTCCAGTGGCAATTGTGATAACAAACATAACAACAAATCCAACATCCATGTGTCTAGGTCTCGTGACATAAAATTCTCTGACCACGGGAGCTGCTATTAGGCAAACTAACATAGGCAAAACTGAGTTCAAAAGTAGAAATGTTTTAGCCTTTTTGTGTCCAGGAACAACATCAGCAATGCTGGTGTAAATCTTGGCACTTAACCCTTGGTAGCTAGTTGTCAACCCCACAGCAACTTGGCGATGAGATGGAAAGTTTCTTATTGTGATCACATAGCACACAGTGTTAATCCAACAAATGCTGTTCCCTGCTAAAACAGTTAGCAAGAAGACATGCCAATAGGAGAGGGAGGAGATTTGGTTTGTTATGAAGAGATATTGCACACCATAGCCAACTAGGCCAAGAGTTGAACCTATCATGAGGACAAGCCAAAAGGGGAGGTAAGTAGTGGCCATGCCAGAAAAGAAGCCAAAGAGTTTGCCAGCATCTGAGGCAAAAGCAAGGTTATTGAGCTGAAACTGTGACAGGGAAAGGAGTTGCTTGAGCTGGGAGGAGTAAGCAGGGAAATTGGTGTTTGTGCCGTTTATGGCTTGGAGCCAAATGATTCCAACAAGGCTTAGCCATTTTAAGGCAGTTGAAGGCATGGTGAGAAAATTTGAGTTGCACCTCTTTCACTCACAAGAAGGGATGAGGTGTGGTGTGGGGTATATATGTTAAGGAAAATAAGGATGATCCAGTAGTTTCAAACAAATACTCTCGGGTTAAATGGAATAATGTGGCTCTACATGTATAATGTGGTTTTATATCAACCACCACCTAAGACACCTATTTATGCTTGAAAAGATTGTGCGAGGAAATGGCATCTATGTCACTTTAATATGAATTCAAGAGCATTTATTAGTACTTAAGATTTTACTGGGATATCTTAAGACAAAGGAGATTTTTTTTTTAAAAAATTTTTAAACGTTAAGCAGAAATAGAAATAAGTTTTAGGCTTTAAATATAATCTCTTTAAAGTTTAATCTAGTCTAACCTATTTGATAAAAATGTCAAGTTTAAATAATTAAAAAAATATATTTATATAAAAAGATCAGGTTTAAGTTTATAAAAAAATTTATTAGACCTAATATGATAAAAATCAATAAATAAGTATATTTTAAAAATAATTTTATTAATTTTTAAAAATTAAATTTATTGATCTAATTTACGCTAGTAATTTAAATAGGCTAATAAGTCAAGACAGACTTTAAAAATGTTATACTAGACTTATAAAAAAAATCTATAATAGATAATAAGACGGATTTAGACTTTAATTTTATAAAATATTTTCAACCTATATATTTAAAATTTCATCTATCTTATCATTACACGCAGGTAAGTTTAAGGACTTATTTAATTAAATAAAAAATTTAAGTAAATATTTATTTAATAAGATTTTATAACACAAAAGTTCTATATCAAATATAATTATATAGTTTATTTAAATAAATTAAAATTATATTATATATTTGTCTAATTATATATATTTTTAATTATAATTTCTTTATACATAAAAGTTAACTTGTGCATATAAATTATATGTCAAGAGAGATGAACCCTTTTAATAACTTCTTGTACCTCAAAGAAATAAATTTTAACTTTCGATCTAAGGATGTCATAAATCACTATTATCAAAGTGACTCAATCTAAATATTGGATTACTGGTTGAATTTGTAGATAGCATAAATTGATGTATTTTAAATATTTATTATAAAAGTATACATATTATAATATATATATATATATATAACTTAAATTTATTAAATATGTTTAGAATAATGTTTTCTTGTCCATAAATTTAATATGGAGATAGATTGCAGCAACTACGCGTGTTGCACCGCATTGTACAGCAGTAGCTTGAAGTAGTAGTAATAATTTTATTACTTTCCACATGTATAGTGTAGATGGTTCGACTCTCACTGGGACCAAATTATCTCTCCACTTTCAAATTTGGTTTGATTCATTGAACGGTGTGCTATGTGACGGTCGTGACCAGCATCATTAATCCAGTGTTGGACAATGTGCAAGACTTATTATATAGTCATAAATTAAAGTTTAAATTATTTTTTAATTTAAATTATTTTATTTTATTTTTAAATTTTAAAATAATTTTTTATTATATAACTTGAAAAAAAAATATTAGCTTTTATGTTTAAATATTATCAATCAGTTTATTAAATAAAATTCACTTTTTACCAAATTTGACACAGAACAATTTACTATCTAATATTTATATTAATAAAAATATTATATTAAATCTAATTCTTTTTAAAATGTAAAAATTTAAATGAAGACAAAACACAGGTCATACAATCTAATGCAAAGTCAGAATTAATCTCTTTGAAAAATTTTCAATAAAATTACAAATTGTCTAATTTATCTTTCAAACAAATTTACACATAAAAAAATATAAAACATAAGAAAAACTTAATTAGTTAATATTACACAACAAATTTAATTTATCTCTAAAATTACTAATAGTCCTAACAAACTAAAATAATTTTTTTGAAATTATATAATTAAAAAAGTTTTGTACCCAAATACCCGACCCGACCGACTAGATCAACAATGTCGAGGACACCGACCACTCACTACCTAAGCCGAACATGTCGGTGTGCCCGGCCAAGTTAGATATTTATGCCAGGACAATTAAGGAGCTATTAATTTACGTAATGCGCCATTTTAGTCCCCTAATTTCCCGGGGCCCAGTCCTTAATCACGGTCCAACAAGAAACACTATAAATAGATTCCCTACGAGGTATGTAACTAACTTTTCAAGTACCGCATTTAATACGCCGAGCACTTACTTGAGCGTTGGAGTATCTTTGCAGGCACCCCCCTCGCTTCGGACTACTCGGAAAGGAGCGAGAAGACATAGATAGACCTAGGACCAGACCCGCTACAACAAGGACAAGTGAAGTGTGTATCTTAACACAAGAACATTTGGCACCCACCGTGGGGCCGAAGAGACGTTTTCAGCCCCTTAGAACTCTACGACTGAGACCGAGACATGGTAGTAACACGCAAAGGACCTTCAACATTGACTCAACCGATCCCTAACCCCGAGAACAATCCCGTGATGACCGGCCAAGAACGATACCCATACGGAATGTCTCAAACACAATCGAAGCCTGTGATATAAGAGGTCCGGCCGAACGCTAACAGAGCCCAGCCCGACCTCCACGATGACTTGCGTGCATTGCGCGAGGAAATGGAAGCCATCCGAAGACAAAGAGAAGCCGATGCTAGGGAGTTGGCTGAACTGCGTCGGCAGAACGTCGAACTCCGAAGTCTGAACCAAACCTACGTGCCTTCCACTCTCACACTCCTAGAAGAGTCAGCCTATCATGCCCCAACCGACCAGGTCACCCGAACACTGGTTACCTCTTTGATAGGCAACAAGGCCGACACCACCACTCACTCCCTAAGGCACCCCTTCTCTCGAAGGATAATGGAGGCAACCCTGTTGGACCATTGGAAGAGCCTTCCAATCGAGAAATACGATGGGTCTACCGACCCCGAGGAGCACTTGAACGTTTTCCTGACACAAGCGACCCTCTCTATTCAAGATGACTTGGCCTTGTGTCGGATATTCCCCACATCGTTGAAGGGGAGGGCTCTGAGTTGGTTCACGCGATTACCGAGCTCTTCCATCGACTCGTTTAATGAGTTGTCGTCCCAATTTACGCTGCAGTTCGCGACGAGCAAACCGTACAAGACGACCTCATTAGCACTGGCAGGGGTTCGTCAAGAGAAAAGAGAAAGCTTGAGAAGCTTCATGGACCGATTCAACAAGATTGCCATGGAAATCAGCGATCTCAACTCGGTCGTGGCACTGGACCGACTAAGTACCGCCCTAAGGCCAGGGCCTTTCATGAACAGCTTGTCTAAGAAACCGCCCGGTGATATGAACGATCTCCGACGCCGAGCCGAGAAGTAAATGGAAGAGCTGGCGGAGACTAGAAATCAGGCTAGGTCCGAAGAAGGTTACAACCGAAAAGAATCCGGTCGAGAGCTGATAAGAAAGACTAATGCCGAACCCTTGAATGCTCGTCCCCCAAGAGGACCATGCTACACAGCGTATACCCCCCTCAATGCGAGTAGGGCCAAGGTAATGGAGCAGGCCCTTGTATCGGAGATCCTTGTGATGCCGAAAAGGGCGAACACACCCCCCAGAGCAGACAAAGCTAAAACGTGCTGATTCCACCGAAACAGGGGGCACTCGACTGAAGAATGCTTGGCATTGAAGGACAAGCTTGAGGACCTTATCAAGAAGGGTCACCTCAGAAGTTTCGTCACCCCCCAAGACCATCAGGCAAGAGGGAGAGACCATCACTCTCGCGAGGCTACACAGTTGAGAGATCGACACCACCGATCCCGTTCAGCCGAGAGGAGGGATCATTCACGACACTCCCAGGAAGAAAATGACCGACCAAGGAAAGTGATAAACACCATAGCCAGAGGCATCGCCGGGGAGGTTCCACCTCTTCGGCACGGAAGACACATCTCTGAGCGGTGCGATCTGTAAATAGTGTGAACCAGCCGAGGACACCGAGGATGCCACCAATAACCTTCTCTGATCGAGACTTTCGTGGCGTCGATCCCGTTCAGGACGACCCCGTGGTCATTTCAGTTGAAATGCACAACTGCATTGTGAAGAAAACTTTGGTCGACCAGGGGAGCTCGGCCGACATATTGTATTGGGACACCTTCGTGCAGCTAGGGATCCCAGAGGAGAGCCTAGAACAATATCACGAGCCATTAGTGGGATTCTCGAGCGAAATAGTGATGACGAGAGGGTGCATTGATCTATACACTCGTTTTGGCTTCGACCAGAAGTCTTCCCGAGAGATCAAAATCCGTTACATCGTGGTGCATGCGAACACGTCGTACAACATCCTGCTAGGCCGACCTTCTATCAATGCACTGGGAGCCATTGTCTCAACCCCCCACCTGTGCATGAAGTTCATGTCGAAAGATGGACAGGTGATAACCGTTCACGCCGATCAGAAGACAACAAGAGAGTGCTACCTTTCTAGCCTAAAGGTACAACCCATTGCCGATTTCCCGACGACGAAAGCTGTGAATGTGGTCAGGTAGGAGATGATGGAGGGCATTGACCTCGACCCTCGGTTAGGCGAAGAAGAACGAATTGAGCCAGCTGAGGACCTTATTCCTTTCCAACTTGGCTAAGCACCCGAACAGGTCATGCACATGGGATCCCAACTAAGTGAAGTCGACTCAAACCTGGTGAAGCGAGCGGTTTGAGACAATAAAGACCTATTCGCATGGACGACATCGAACATGCCAGGCATAGATCCAAATTTCCTCTGCCACTGGTTAGCCATATACCGAGACGCCCAACTAATTTCCCAAAAGAAGAGAAAAATGGGGGATGAGAAGAGAAAGTTGCGAATGCCGATGTGAAAAAATTGTTACAAGCCAAATTCATAAGAGAGGTCACCTACACACCCTGGCTAGCCAACGTGGTTTTAGTCAAAAAGGGGAATGGAAAGTGGAGCATGTGCACCGACTACACCGACCTCAACAAAGCCTGCCCCAAGGATGCTTATCCACTCCCCTGCATTGACCGACTTGTAGACGGTACGTCCAGGCAGTCTATCTTCAGCTTCCTCGATGCCTACTCTGGCTACAACCAGATAAAGATGCACCCGGATGATGAGGAGAAGACGACGTTCATCACCGAGAACGCCAACTTTTGTTACAAAGTCATGTTGTTCGGGCTGAA